TACTGAAATAAATGAACTTTTCCACGACATTCAAATTTATTGAGATGCACCGGTACTGTGGCTTGGTGTTTGATCACTTACTGCCATCTAGTATCGATATCCTCCTGGGACCCAGGCATAGACTTTTGTCCTCTGTAGAGGACGTTATATTTTAGTGAATTTCTCTGACCCTACATGCCACAGTTTTAAGTCTGGATGTCCTGTTCAGAGCACATTCAGGGCTTTTTAGAGATATCAATTTCAGTATGTTTGGAGGTTTGATCATAAACACGCCCTCTGCTTGGTCTTTAAATATGACTGATATTGACAGAATGATCAAATTTAGCACTCAAAGGGAAATATAATGTTTTGTAATTATTTAAATCTGGCTCATTTTCAATTGTTTGTCATAAATAAACATCTCAGAAAAATGTTATGGAGTTTCAAATCGGAATATGACTTTTTGTTAAGAAACGGGGCATCATTTTCATACATGTCTTCTGTAGAGGACACCAGGACAAACATCATGTTATTTAGGGATTTTGGGGAAACACAAGAAGTCAATAGGGAAAGAAATTATAGATCAATATTCCTATGAAATATGAGATATTCTTATGATAATGTTATTACTCACATTATTACACTTCTCTTTTAATTTTTTCATTTTGGTTTGCCCCAAGAACACATTAATATGCAAATTAGATGCAATGTATAGATCTATTGTATTGAGTGAGAATACCAGTTTATAGACCTTTTATGCACATATTCCATAAAGTACAGTACTATATAAAATTCTGTTATAATTTTCATAACATATTTGAGAATCATCTTTGTACAAAGTTTGGCTAAAAATAGCCTGAAACCTAAAAATTGGTGATTGGTGAATGATAAAAAATAAAACATTGTTTTTGCCTATACATGCCTTTTCATGTCAAATTTTATTTTTTTTGAATAACTTAGTCCTGGCGTCCTCTACAAAGGGCATAGAATAAAATATTAATAAAATATATTTTTTTCAAAAATGTTTTTTCTCCATTTGTTTCTTATACTCCAACCAATGTAATGACATAAAAAAATTCACAAAACGTTTTTTCTGGTTCTCAGGAGGATATGACCGATGGTCAGTGTGGCGCCTCATCGGCCGCCGCTGTGCGCATGCGCGGTACATGAAGCGCCGCTCTGAGGAATAAATAAGGGCAGGGAAACCGAACCGCAATGGGACAACTCTTATTTCGGTCCAATTCGGCCTAAAATATGGCTTTTATCCTTGACGGGGTGTCATCGGAAGGTTTTTAGAGGGCGTTGGGGATCTGTTTGGCTATTGAAAGGGACTGAGAAAGTTTGGAAGGAAACGAACTTCAGGGACGCACAGAGACGGTCATGGAGGTTTTCGGTTCGGCGCTGGAGAAGAACGTGGCGGATCTGACCGTGATGGACGTCTACGACATCGCCGCGGTGGTGGGCCAGGAGTTCGAGCGCATTATCGATCAGTACGGATGCGAGGCTCTGTCCCGCCTCATGCCCAAAGTGGTCCGTGTGCTGGAGATCCTGGAGGTTCTGGTGAGCCGCAACAGCATCAGTCCAGAGACCGAGGAGCTGCGCCTGGAGCTGGACCGGCTGCGGCTGGAGCGGATGGACCGGCTGGAGAAGGAGAGGAAACATAAAAAGGTGCTTTTATAGACTAGAATATCTATTTACCTGATCTAAATAACCAGCTCGTTCATTTAACTCTGTTTTATTGACACTGATAGTCAGAATTAAAGAGACAGGTGACTTGTCTGTGACGTCACAACATATGTGCACAAGTATTTTACGTATAAAAGTAAACATTAATTTATAAATGTTTTGTATTCGTGTTCAATTAAACTATTTTAAGATATATATATATATATATATATATATATTATGTTATATATAAAACTATAAATGCATTCAATAATAAATATATTAAAGTGTATAAATAACATTTTTATTTTAAATATTTTTTGGAGCCTGTGATACTTTTTTCAGGATTTTTTTGTTTGATAAATAAAAAATCATTACAAGAACAGCATTTATTCAAAATAGAAATCTTTTCTAACAATATAAGTCTGAATGTATACTGCTTTTTTTCTACTTTTACTGTGCATGAACATATGTTCATTATTTTATGCGGCTGAAGATGTTTGCCAGAGGTGTTTCAGAACAAAGCAGTGCATGCAAGGGAATTTCTAAGTTCCTGTCTGGGACAGGAAATGATGTATTCACAACCACAGTCCATCATCATCATCATCATCATCACGTAACATCATGTCCACTGGGTCAGTGAGCAGATATGCGACAAATCTAAATCTCATGAGGCTGATGTAAAATATACTGTGGTAGTACTATAATACAGTGTGGGGTCAGATGTTACAGTGCTAATACTTTGGTACCTTGATGTTTACTAAAGGATTGCAATATTCATATATTTTATTTACGAATAAAATACTATGGTATTACCGTAGTACATGCCCGTGGTATTGTAGCACATAAGAGTCTCACATAAATGTAAGAATATGGTAAAAACTTGAATATGTGAATATGAGCAGAGCTATGAATACGGCTTTTGTCTGTGTCCTTCTCTGAAGATGTTAATGTGGTCCTGCTTTGTGTGTTTTTGCTGATTGTTTCAGACGTTACGTAACTCCAGTGAAGGTCAGCGGTTAAATATACACTCATGTATATTTTATGAGCCGCTTCTGAAAAGTGTGTGTGTGGTTGTGAACAGGAGCTGGAGCTGGTGGAGGATGTGTGGAGAGGAGAAGCCCAGGATCTGCTGTCCCAGATCGCACAGCTGCAGGAGGAAAACAAAACACTGCTCAACAACCTGTCCGTCAAAGAGTGTCCGATGACAGAAGAGGATATACAGAAACAGGAAGGTAGTGTTGAAGCTCAGGGTTTGGAAAAAGAGAGCTTTGCCTCAGTCTTTTACACTCTCTGGAATACTATATCCCACAATGCACTGCGCTTCACTTGACCTTCCATTTCCAATGTGATGGAATACAACTTTATTTGACAGCCAAAACAATATATTTTCACAAAATTGTTTTAAAAGCACAAAATAACAATTCTTAAAAAGTCTTACTACACTTTTTCACAAATGAAGGCTTTAAAAGGTCTTAAATCATAATGTTATGGCATTAAATGTTGCATGCATTGCCAAAAATTCATGTCTTGTTTTCCAGTACAAGTATCTAAACATCCTTAAATCAAGATACACTTACTTGAGATGCAAAATGAAGATATAAAGTCAAAATTAAGTGAGTTTATGCTTCAAATAAGAACAAACGTCTGTCAATGAAGTATGACTTGTTCCCTTTGAATGAAGTAGATTTCTCTGAGCCCATAAACTCACTTTGATCATTTTGATTTTGATCAGTTTCACAGTAGGGCTGTCAAAATGGCTGAAAAACTAAATTTGAATTTTGTACTTAAATATTATTAAAATTCGAATTATATTCGAATTTAAAATGCATAATTTCAGTTAGGATGAAGAAAAGCTTTTGGCTTCTCTCCTGAGGCCACAAGAGGGCGCATCGAGCAAAATATTACTAATGCACGTTTATTCAAAGTGCCTAATGTTTAAAATAATGTTTATAAACCAATTATAAGTAAATTAAGTTGCTTAAACAACTATAAACAAAACAGCATCATGCATGTATGCATAGTTTAATACAAAGGACCGAAA